TGATAGTATCTAGCCAGTGAATGTTGAGTATTTTGCGTAAACAACTGTTTATAAATACTTGAACCTTCTTGACGATGGATGTAGTAGTTCTCCACATTATAGCTCCATACAATAGGACTGTCTTGACATTTGTGATGAAGATTCTCACTCTGAAGTTAGTTGACAGTTGTTTTGAGTTCCATATGTTCTTCATTTGTAAAAATGCTGCCCTTGCTTTGCAAATCCTCGCCTTTGCATCTGCATCAGATCCTCCTCCGCCATCAAGTGTGATTGGGTTGGTGTTCTCCGTGTTGTATTTGAGAATCTTTCTTTTTCCTTTGTGGATGTTGAGGCCTATTGATGCAGAGGCCACTGCTACATTTGCTGTCTTTGTCTGAATTTGTTCGTGTGTATTAGATAGGAGGGTATGGTACGTTTAGGGAGAAAAAATTTGTATTATTAACTGTAGTGTTGTTATGAACTAAGGATTCCTTGGTACTTAATGACTGCCTGATTTCGGATTCTTAATACAATACATACGTTCGTGATCATCTAGTACTTCTTGGTTAAGCTGAGTTTTTTCTCGGATTCCTAATTCGTATTATAATTCAAATACTTCTAATTATCACGATTGATTGATCACTGGGTGGTGATCAATGTCATGCCTGTCAAGTCCTTCTTAGTGCTAATCGAATGCTATCGATCAAGTTGCAATGTGGCCACCAGTCTAGGTGGCTCGACATTACATACACTATGTTCTGATAATATCGATAGCATTCTATCAGCCCTAAGAAGGAGTTGACATGCATGACATTGATCACCACCCAGTGATTAATCAATTGTGATTACATCTCAGTCTTGCAGGAGGTCGGTCGCGGCACGGATAGCTCAGTGGTAACGTCTCTGACTGTGAACATAAGTGACACGGGATTGAATCCGTCAGGGTGCACCAGTTCCCTTGAGATTACAAGTACACCTTGCTGACGAATGCCAAGTAGCACGAAACCCGAATCCAAGGTTTCCTATTGACCACCTCCAACCACCATCTTACTTTTAATTATCACATTGGCGTCACGAGCAGGATCTTGTGATAGAACAATTAGACATACATTCAAACTTTTATGTATCTGAGAATTATATGGAAAGGTTAGGAATCTGGATCCTGACCAAGAAAGATGTTGAAGATGTTAATAATGTCTCACTTCCTTACATTCATCGGAAAAGAATCATACAGTTTCTTAATATTTCTGGTATTTCCAGAAAAGCCTATTTCGTTTCCTAATGGAACTCTGGAGGAACTACTGATAGATCATGTAAAGTATATAAACTTCGAATGAGTTAAAAGAGGAATATTTCATAAAATGATTCATCAGAGCATTAAAACTTCCACTACATTACTGCGTCATCCAAATACAATGCGTACTCAATGTTATGCTAATAATTGATTGAGGAGTTGCGAAGTAGGTCACAAAGATGATGTCAGTAATTTCAGTGCACAACCGGCGTGGTGATTGTATACAACTCCAGGACCCAGGTGAACCCGATTCGATTTCAACCGTTAATTCTAATACTAATGAGTATATTCTAGATCATGCAGAGTCTGCGTTTGATATACAATCAGACAGACACATGAAAAAGAAGAGGTATGATTGATCGCAGAAATTTGGATTCTCATTTAAGATGTGACGGATGTGGTGTTTGTATGAACTAATGATCTCTTGGTACATGATGATTGCCAGATTTTGAATTCTGAATACATCACACTCTTTAGGGCTGACTTAGTTCTGTCTAAATAGATTGCGCTATTTCGGGAATTCCTAGTTTGTACAATTGAAAGACTTACTGTAACATTGAGTTAGACAGCATGACTATAATGTAGGAACAAGCTAATAGGAAATGATTGAGTAAATTTTAAAAATTAGTGATTTCATTGTACGTCATATAAAAAGAACAATTCTTTCAGGATTATCTTGAAATAAATGTTGAATAGAATGAAACCTAATTCCAAAGTATCCTGATGACTAGCTTCAACCGTCAACTTACAGGAGAAACGTCTTTGTATTGTAATAAGAACAGTCTAAATTTATTTGGTAAAACTATTTGTTAGTGAAAATGATGGTGTTAAACATGTCAAATGTTTAATTATTTCCATCCAAACAATACACATTTATGTCGATACTGGGTTCGGGTCTCCAGGTGAGTAACTCTGCGATGCAGGTACATTCAGCTGAAGAATCCTAAATGGGACGAAACGCGCGTCCAGAATTCCACTACTATCCGCTATACATCTTTGCTAACCCCGCCTATAGCTCTTCTATAGTTGCCGCCAGTCCCAAGTCTGGGTAAAGGAGAAGAGTTAGGCACGGGGTAGGCAACCTTATCCAGTAGAAAAAATTATGCCAAATAAACACCAACCTGACTAAACAAAATATCAATAGGTTATTTCTGTCTACGTTTTTCACGATAAACTCACTTAGAAATTTACTGAGTATTAATTAAGTTGATGAAGTAGGGATTCGAACAAAAGATAGTAATTTTCATATAGGAATTAGTTCACGTTTATAATCATTTAGTAACTAATGATGTTTTCTAATAAACTAATGTATATCGGAAGAATTCATAAAGAAATCAACCATTAGATTTCTTCAGATTTGATAGTTTTATCAAGATACTTTTATATAGTTGAGATAATCAGTCAATTGAAGCTAGACCACTATGGAATACCTGGAAGCATTGAACGGCCGTTTCGTCCTATTGTGGGACTCCTCACCAGTGCGCATCCATGATTTGTTAAATTAATGATATTTTATCAGATATAAATAAAGAATAAACAGTACCATAGGTTCTTCCTCATTTTGTCTTTGTAAGTTGCATGTGATGTTTGACGGAGCTAGATTACAAACTGTGGGCAAGTGATATGGCATCATGCTTGGATCCTAATAACATCGTAAGTTTGCTAGATTGAGACGGCATAAAATCATGTCTCCAGGGTATCTTGTTTTACATTATTATTATCAGACCAACCTACACTATTCTTTTAATTCCCTGCCTATTTCTGGTAGGATTGATAAGATACTAGAGGCAATCAGATCATTTCTCTTTCTCTCACTTCATGCCCCTATTTTTGAAACATGAAAGTCGACAGTTACTACAATAAGTAGATGAATTCTAGAATTGTGATCATCCTATTAGTTAGCTGTGATCAACTGGTATAAACCATATCGAGTTGAGACAGTTTCCAACCGTTGAAAACATATGATCATCGCTAATGACTGAACCTGGAAATGTAAATCAACCTCAAATCAGTAGTCTAAAGATAAAGCGCATATTATAAGGCTCTCATCAATCGGAAGTTCGTTGTGTGCTGCTGAAGAGTGCTATTTGAGGATTAAAAACAGATAACTAAGAAGAACCCATGAGCGATTACAAAACTAACTAAAATCCAGTCGGTAATGTTTTCTGTGTTAAGCAATCTATATAAATCCTTGACAATGTATATTATTTCAGAACAATCATTCATATTATAATCACTGTCAGCCGTTGTCATATAACACCGAAAAGGTATTTCCAGAATTAGTTAACACAAAGTTCCCCCTTTAAAAACATTTCAAAATATGATTTAGGGGTTAATTGTTAAACATTGAATTACAACTCTTAATAGCCCTCAAACACCCTGGTACGGCCGAGAGTGAGGAGAGTCCATTCTCCATCTCCAAATGCTCTCACATGGCCACGCGTATATAGCCTCTGTTAGGGAAGTCCTACTCACTGCCTTCTCACAGTGACGGGGGTGAATGTCTGGCGCTTTAACTGGGTTGGGGTCACGAAAAGTTCACCAAGGGGAGTTGGAAAACCCTGATTCGAAACCAATGGTCCACATGGACTCCAGTATCCTGATGAAACAAATGTCGTATGAACCAATTGTTTGTCACCGTCTCCACTGCCTTGTGGATCAGATCTATGGATGAAAGCCTCGGAGTGTGGCCTCCTAAGAAAACCATCTTATTTGGTCTGGGCTACCAGGCACTATCACAGTCCAAACACAAATCAAATACTCAAATATCATTCTCAAGTTCATATATATATTTGGGTAACTGAGTAATTTTCTGTTTGAGAATGTAAACACTTTATACAATGAAATGAAAAGGAGGTATGTGTACACCACAATGTCTAAAAAAGTCAAAAAAATAAATATCACTATTACATCTTAAAAGAAAATTATCACAGAAATACATTGGACAATAAAATTTACACATTATTAATGAAATTGCTGTGTGTACTACTGATATCGACAGATATAAGTAGTATGGTATCCTCAATCAAAAGTGATATGTCTGGAGGTAGAAAGTTTTTAAAAAAAAAACGAAGAGAAGAGAACGAGAGCAAAGACTGATTAGTGTGGAAACGAAAGAACAATTAAGTATGACACAACTGAAAGATATTTTGCAAATAAAGTTCAGGTAGAACTTTGTGCTGATGATGTCGTCCAGAAGGAAGGACGATGAAAGCTCCATGACCAAATCATCCAGCTCAGAGAACAAAACTCCATACAAATAAAGTATTTATTGTATAGTTCTTAGATTCAATAATATTATATATATAGAGGAATTAATCCTCAACAATTCAAATACATTTGATTGTCTCCCCTCTATTTGGTAACTGAATTAACAATAAGTAGTATGTTAAAAAAAATTTTAAAAATAAATGAATACTTTGAAACATATTGAGTGTATTCAACAAAGAGAGAATTTGCTTAAAACACCAAAGAAAAATTGAAAGATCCCAAGTTTCATTGAAAATACAAACCGGTACACAAATAGTTTCCTTTGAATATGTCATTGATGATGATGATCACGATGATGATGATGATCGATGATGACGGTCGATGGGAATAAATCCCTTGGTTGGTGATATCGTCATTGTATCTTGAATGAAATGATGTTGATATGATGATAAGGAGGTCAAAATGAGAATGAAATTTAAATACAGGTCAAAAAAAATAGAGAAGAAAACTAATTTCTTTAAGTAATAAGTGGATCTTCTAAACCGAATAGAATTAACATTTGATTTAAAGTTTGTAGATGAGGTTCAATGGTTCTTACAAATTGTTCTGCTTCTCTAAGTACCTTTCAATAGAGAGAAAATGAAATAAAAACATAAACATAATGGTTGATAAGAATCAGTTAAATTAAGATCAATTAGATAAAATTGTTTAGATATAGTTGAGATCATGAGTCAATTGAAGCTAGACCACCACCATGGAAAACCTAGAAGTGCTGGACGGCCGTTTTTGTCAACTCACTGAAGACATTGGTTAATAGTTGCTTAATTTCGCGGATTGGTTGAAGTTAAACATTAACACCGTTGGATGCTGGCCGGCTCAGTGATCTAGTGGTTAAGCGTTCGAGCGTAAGACTGATACGTTTTGGGATCGAATGTCGCGGAGCGGGATCGTGGATGCGCACTGCTGAGGAGTCCCACAATAGGACGAAACGGACATCCAGTGCTTCCAGGTTTTTCATGGTGATCTAGCTTCAATTGACTCTTCAATTGATCTCAACTACATAAAATTACTAAAATCTCCACAAAACTCCTTTTTGAAAAGTGTTTCTATTCCAGATTTCGATTCATGTTATTATATGGTTGAAGAAATCTAATTTGAAAATCTATTCTGTTGTTAGATTATTCAATATGAAGCATTCGACTGATTTTTTCTTTCAATAGTTCAGATCATGAGTCAATTGAAGTAAGACTACCATGGAAAACCTGGAAGCACTGGACGGCCGTTTCGTCCTATTATGGGACTCCTCTTGGGTTGGAATCTTGCGAGTGCGGGATCGTGGATGCGCACTGCTGAGGAGTCTCATAATAGAAGGAAACGGCCGCCCAACGCTTCCAGGTTTTCCATGGTGTTCTAGCTTTAATCGACTAATGATTTCAACTTTGAAGAATGAATATTCGTTTGAAGTTCACAGTTACTCTACCGCTATGTTTACTAAATAACTTTCACAAGAGTTGACAGGAGGTCAAATGAAAAGGATACATAGAGAAGACTCACCGAAAAGAGATTTGAATTGATTTACAGAAAGTAAAATTATTTCATTTGACTTTTAGTGACTGATTTCGAACCATAATAATTGAAATTCCCAGACAAAAATTGTCATCATTAAATATAAATACTTCAATCAATATGTCTGTACCTACTGGTATGTTGTAAACTAACATTTTATAGTTTAATGAAGTGATAGGATTTCTTCGTTAGAACAACTCTGGCTTCATCCTAACCTACTGTTAACTCAACTAGAATCAGAGTAGTAACTACAAGTTCAATAGGTATTGTTTGTTTAGATCTTCGCATTGATGTTTAGGACTGCAACTGATCAGTCTCTTATTGGCATATGTGCATACTGTGCGTATGGCCTCGATATAGCTTTAATTTACAAGCATTCTAAGCAAAGATGGAAAGTGGCTAGCAGTGGAATCCAGGACGCGCGTTCCGTCCCAATAAGAGACTGATCAATTGCAGTCCTAAACATCAATGGGAAGAATCAACCAAACAGTAGCAAGTGAATGTAAACTTCACCCCATTGCACAAGCGAGTGGCTATCAGGACTCAGTTGCTCAGTGTATAACGTGATGACGTTTGAAGCGAAAGATACTGAGTTCGAGTTCCAGAGTGAACATCAACTCTGAGGTATATCCAGCTGACGAGTCCCAAATAAGGCGAAACGTGCGTCCTGGATTCTGCTGTTACACATCTCAGACAATTCTGTCAATGAATGTTTACAACTATATCAAATAATTTTAAATCTTTGCCTGGTACCGCAGTCTTAATCTCAACATTGTTCACTCGATTATTATACTGACTGAGTACAATACATTGAAAGTCTTTATGATCAAATAGTAGTCACCTACACATATCCTCTAACTTAAGGAGCAAAAATTCAATGAGCTTCTTGTATTTTTGGCAAAAGTTTTATCTGTCATCTTCTATCAAGCATAGTGAAAAACTGATGCTGATAATGTTTTTCAGAAGAACAATGAAAACTTCACCACTAAACCACCCTGTTCATAGAAGAAACCTCCGCCTAAATCATGTTAATTTCTATCGCAGTAGCATCTGTTGCCAACGTCCTGTTCGAGCTGTTACTGACCTCTTGTAAACTTGAAATATTTACAGCTAATCGGTGAGTAAGTGACAAGCAAGGTCAGACTGTGTTTCTTGGTGAGTGCCACCAACAAGCGGGAAATATAATTTCAAAAACTTTCTCTCAATCACCTCTAATAATCTAACATGTGACATAATACACTACAGTGTCAAGTCTTTTGGCCTAGTAGTCACATGTTATTAATTCATTTATGAAATTTGATCACAGAAAGCAAATTAACTATTGTCAAAATTCACAAGTTTATAGTGTACTTAAGGACACATAAGATTATAGCACAGCTGAGTGAAAAAAATCGATTACCACTTAATATAACCTTAATTTAATCTGATTTTGTGCATGCAGTTCAGGTTTTGTTTCATGGATGATATGAGCTTCTATATTTTATTTACATAAAACCATATAAACCATATAAAGGTACTGGGTTAGAGTCCTAGAGTAAACAGCTGACGAAACGCACAACCTGGATTTCACTACTAGCCACTATACATCTTTGCTTATAATGCTTGTGAATTTAGGCTATATCGAGGCAATACGCACAGTATGCACATATGCAAATTAGAGACTGACCAGTTGCAGTCCTAAGCATCGATGGGAAGATTCAAACAAACAGTACCAAGTGAATTTGAACTTCACTACATTGCACAAGCAAGTGGCTGTCAGGACTCAGTAGCTGAGTGGATGATGCGATGGCGTTTGAAGCGAAAGGTACCGGGTTCGAGTCTTATCAACTGTGAGATGCAGGTACATCCAGTTGATGAGCCTCGAATAGGACGATCTCACTGCTAGCCACTATCCATCTTTGCTTATGTAATCTACTGTTGTAATCTTTCTATTACATCATCACGTCTATTCGTTAATTAAAAATTACACATGGAATTGATATTGAATTCTTAGTCATGAGATCTCTGTAGTGAATTTGTTGTTTTAAATCATGTAACTATTTCCATGTTTCTAGAGTTTATATATTACTTATTTACTTACCCCTGTTACCCCTCGTAGAGGAGCATAGGTTGCGTACCAGTATTCTCCATCGAACTCTGTTTTTGACAATCCTTTCAAGCTTATTAATTGTATGCCTTTTGTTCACTATTTCACCATAAATGAATAAGTTTAGTACAGATTGTTGATTCTTATTCATGGTGAGCGTAGTCATATGTAGTCACATGAATTTATATAATACAGAATAATATAAGGTATCGCTGATTGCCTTTTATAAGATTCTTATTGATAGTTTGTGAATGGGAATCTGTTGCTATACATCAACTTCATTAACTATGTGAAGGCGTTTGACAGTGTGGACCGGAGAATATTATGGATATTTCTTTGGCATTATGGAGTTCTTGAGAACATCGTCAACATTATCCGAAACTAATAGAACGGACTACAGTTTAAAGTTGTGCACGGAGGCTAGCTGACAGACACATACCAAGTAAGGACCGGGATCAGACAAGGATGCTTACTCTCCTCCTTCCTCTTTCTTCTGGTGGTCGACTGAATTATGAAAACCTCAAAGCATGAAGGGATGCACGGAATACAATGGACATCTCAGAATCAGTTAGAAGATTTGGACTTTGCAGATGACCTAGCCCTCCTATCTCATACACACAAACAAACACAGACGAAGACAACAAATGTAGCAGCAGACTCTGCATCAATAGGCCTCCACATTCACAAAGGAAAAAGCAAGATTCTCAAATACAACACGGAGAACACCAACCCAATCGCACTTCATTGCGAAACTCTGGAAGACGTAAAAATATTCACATACCTGTAAAGCATCATTGATGCACAAGAAGGACCTGATGCAGATGTAAAGGCCAGGATTGACAAAGCAAGGACAGCATTCATACAGTTGAAGAACATATGGAACTCCAAACGACTGTCAACTAAATTCAAAGTGAGAATCTTCAATACGAACGTGAAAACAGTTCTACTGTACGGAGCTGAAACGTGGAGAACTACCATATCCATCGTCAAGAAGGTAAAAGTATTTATAAAAAGTTGTTTACGTAAAATACTCAACACCCAGTAGCCGGATACCATCAGCAACAGCGTTTTATGGGAGAGGACAAACCAGCTTCCAGCTGAAGAGGAAATTCGGAAAATACGTTGAGAATGGATAGGACATACGATGAGGAAATCATCAAACTGAATCACGAGGCGGTTGCTAACTTGGAATCCGGGAGGGAAGCGGAAAAGAGGAAGGCCAAAGAACAGATTATGCCGGGCAATAGAAGCAGATATGAAAAGGATGAATAACAACTGGAAAGAACTGGAAAGGAATGACCAGGACGGAATTGGGTGGAGAAAACTGATGTGCGGTTAATGCCCCTCTATGGGGGGTAACAGGAGTAAGTAAGTAAGTAAGTAAGTAAGTAAGTAAGTAAGTAAGTAAGTAAGTAAGTAAGTAAGTAAGTAAGTAAGTAAGTAAGTAAGTAAGTAAGTAAGTAAGTAAGTAAGTAAGTAAGTAAGTAAGTAAGTAAGTAAGTAAGTAAGTAAGTAAGTAAGTAAGTAAGTAAGTAAGTAAGTAAGTAAGTAAGTAAGTAAGTAAGTAAGTAAGTAAGTAAGTAAGTAAGTAAGTAAGTAAGTAAGTAAGTAAGTAAGTAAGTAAGTAAGTAAGTAAGTAAGTAAGTAAGTAAGTAAGTAAGTAAGTAAGTAAGTAAGTAAGTAAGTAAGTAAGTAAGTAAGTAAGTAAGTAAGTAAGTAAGTAAGTAAGTAAGTAAGTAAGTAAGTAAGTAAGTAAGTAAGTAAGTAAGTAAGTAAGTAAGTAAGTAAGTAAGTAAGTAAGTAAGTAAGTAAGTAAGTAAGTAAGTAAGTAAGTAAGTAAGTAAGTAAGTAAGTAAGTAAGTAAGTAAGTAAGTAAGTAAGTAAGTAAGTAAGTAAGTAAGTAAGTAAGTAAGTAAGTAAGTAAGTAAGTAAGTAAGTAAGTAAGTAAGTAAGTAAGTAAGTAAGTAAGTAAGTAAGTAAGTAAGTAAGTAAGTAAGTAAGTAAGTAAGTAAGTAAGTAAGTAAGTAAGTAAGTAAGTAAGTAAGTAAGTAAGTAAGTAAGTAAGTAAGTAAGTAAGTAAGTAAGTAAGTAAGTAAGTAAGTAAGTAAGTAAGTAAGTAAGTAAGTAAGTAAGTAAGTAAGTAAGTAAGTAAGTAAGTAAGTAAGTAAGTAAGTAAGTAAGTAAGTAAGTAAGTAAGTAAGTAAGTAAGTAAGTAAGTAAGTAAGTAAGTAAGTAAGTAAGTAAGTAAGTAAGTAAGTAAGTAAGTAAGTAAGTAAGTAAGTAAGTAAGTAAGTAAGTAAGTAAGTAAGTAAGTAAGTAAGTAAGTAAGTAAGTAAGTAAGTAAGTAAGTAAGTATGTAAGAAAGTAAGTACGCGATACACAGAGGCTGAGTTAATGGAATTATTGATTTCAATGTAATTTAAATGACAACAATGTACGTTCACTTTAGTAAATAAAGAGTTAACTTACAATCAATTCACAATTATCCTGTTCCAGTCCCAATTTTCTAATAAATACCGATCGTTTAGGGACAATGTGTAAAAAAAGCTAGAAAAATTAATTTGAGATAAGATAAAAAGGAAGAATAAAGAATATGCTGTAATTAGTCATCATTCACCTAATATTACTAACAAGCTTGAAATAGACTTCACAGAAATTCCAGTGTATAAAAAGTGACCAGTCAAGTTGATCATGTTGAAAATGATATAGTAACTAACCAGTTGTGATGGATTTGAATTGTCTTACATCGGTTATTGATCAGAGCTGAAAACTGTGAGCCATTAAGTTTTAACTGGTCAAACCCATCAATCGCATCAATGACCCCAAGTTCCTGGTTCATTTTCGATGTGAACTAGTGATTAATTGTTTTCGGGTTTTTTTTTTTATCTAAGCAATAATGAATTTCAATTTACAGCACAAACGCCATGAGGTTATTTCTTTGCGGGTAAAAAAGACACACCAAATAACCCAATATACTTACACGAAATGCACGACGCATCAATTTGTTATGATATTTTGTTAATGTCTCATCATAAGCTTTTGTAATAGTATCACGTACTAATTCATTATTCTTGGATTGAGCAAAATGATGAAGAAAACAAATAACAAACTGAATTGTACGTTTCAACCATAATAAACCAATCGATCCGGAAGAATCATCACGATTTATTTCATTAGCTAATAAGTCATATAATGTACTCACATGTAGATTGGTAGAAGCACGTGTTACTTTCTGTACAATAGGATATATACAAAAAAAAACAACATGAAAATAGAATATGTGAATGGTAGTTTGAAAGGTAAAAATATTGGTTAATGAAGAGAGAAAATCAACAAATATTCTTTATCAGCGCTTTGAAACTCCTCTGCAATGTGTATACAGATCTGATACACAAAACAATGGAGCACCGTAAGGAGATGCAGTCTCATGGTAACCGGTGACCAACAATTGGTTTATACGCCATTTGTTCCTTCAGGATACTGGAGCCAGCCCATGTGTGCCATTGGTTTGGAATCAGGGTTTACCAACTCCCCTAGGTGAACTTTCCATGTCCATCAACCCGGTTAAAGTGCCGGACATTCACTTACCGTCCTCTCAATTATGTAAACAACACCCCCTCCACGAGAAGGCAGTGAGTAGGACTTCCATGGCAGAAGCTATATATTCGCGTGGCCATGTGAGAGCATTTCGAGAGGGAGAGCGGACTCTCCCCACTTTCGGCCGTACCAGGGCATTTGAGGGCTGTCGTTGTATTGTACCGAGCACACTACCAAATTATACAAAAGAACACAATCTCTAAACAGTTTGTAAATGCATGTTACATTTAGATAATCATTCATTACCAAACTCTCGATATCGTTGACTTTAGAAACCTTACAACTTCAGGAAATCTATGACAGGGTTCCAGCACAAACTCAAAGATATCCTGTGTTTGGAGCTGTATAAAATAATGGTTGTACAATGTTGAGGAATACAAATTGACGACAAAACCAAACTGCCCTCTTAACAGAACTTTATAACTTGTCATGAATTCTCGAGGATTAATTATTATGTAGATAATTCAAAGATCGTTGACTTGAATGTCGACCCGACACTTAAACATGCTGAGAATATATACACATAAAAATATTAGTTTTTGTAAGATATTAACAAGGATAAATTCTTTTTGCAACTATTCCTTGAAATTTCCCTGAGATATCATAATAGTTAGGCAAATGATTGGTTCTCAGAAATCTGCCAAATCGTATATCATATCACTAATAAATTATACTCTTTTATGGTATTAAACAATGGATGAGTAAACATAAGGAGTAATAAGCAAAGATGGACAGTGGCTATCAGTGGAATCCAGTTTGACGCGCGTTTCGTCCTATTTGGGATTCGTCATAAAAGGATCAATTGCAGTCCTAAAAACCAATGGGAAGATTCAACCAAACAGTAGCAAGTGAAAATAAACTTCACCCCATTGCATAAGCAAGTGGCTATCAGGACTCAATAGCTGAGTGAATAACACGATTACGTTTGAAGCGAACGGTACTGTGTTCGAGTGCCAGATTGAACATCAACTCTGAGATGCAGATACATCCAGCTGACGAGTCCTAAATAAGACGAAACGCGCGTCAAACTGGATTCCATTGCTAACCACTATCCATCTTTGCTTATAATGCTTGTGAATTGAGGCTATATCGAGGTTATACGCACAGTATGCACATATGCCAATAAGAGACTGATCAATTGTAGTCCTAAACATCAATGGGAAGATTCAAACAAACAATACTAAGTGAATTAAGAATAATAATTATTCAGACATATTTAAACAAATGGCAGAAGTTGAAGGGACATTACTGTTTGGTGGCTATTATGAACTTGCTCATGCATAAGAAACTTACTTACATAGGATAGGTATCCGATCAAAAGGGCTCAAGCAAAAAAGGCGAGTGAAATAGGAAGCACGCTAATAAGGGCGACCATCAAAAGGGTACATTTTAATAAAGGTGATCAGTAAAAGAGGGCTTAACATTTAGGGAGTACTTTGAAAGGAAGAACAATTTACACTTAGAATCTTTATTGTTAAACACGATTCAGTTCAATTCAAAAAAGTCTGACTGTTAATATAACTGTGGAATAATCATACAAAAAGTGTTGTATTCAGGACTACCTGTGATTTATTTCAAAATTCAAGTGAATCCTTGTCACCAGTATTTGGTTATGCTTTCTGCGCCTTTTCTCTTGTGTTCGAGTTGCAATGTCGGAGTTAAGGTTGTAATCGGTTAGGGAAACCATTTTAGCGTGTCGGTAGCAAGACTTATCAGCTTTTTTAACACGAGACACTGTATTTATTTTCCCTACTAACTAGGAAGTGTTGAACAGATTTTGTACGCTAATACGCGGGACCCAGCCCATAAACTTCAGGTATCACGATGCCCATAAGATACCCTAATGATTTTAATGGTATTGACTGCTCAAAATTACATAGTTCATTTGAGAAGCTTTTATTGTTGTTACAACCAAAACCATTAACATTTATTTATGCAGAAGTGAACTCTTTAATTATTCTATATGGACAAAGTCAATTCATTCTAGTGGCCGCGTTATTGACTGATTGTTTTTTTCATTTGTCTTTGGATTCATGTTGACTGTCTAGTTTACCTGATCTTTGACCACGTGATTGACTGGGTTATTCTGAGCTAGCAAGTAGATTGGATCTATTTCGATTGCTTTTTACTGGATGCTAATCGATCTGAATGTCATGCTTCGAGCTTTGCTCTGCCACTTCCATAATCGTTCAAACCTAAAATTCCAACGTTTTTCCAGTTTAAATCATGTTTATGTGCGTTAACAACAGTGATACCACATTGAATTGTCACAATACTAATGGATGTGGATGTGAATTAGGTATCTACTTCGTTCAGTGCAATATTTCTAGCAACTGATGCTATTTTTTCCAAAATGATGCTGTATGCATCTTTACTAGCATTAGTATCCTTTAATCCATAACATCGGATGAAACGATTGTCTCATGTTGTGGGCGACATTAATTCTAATAGGTTGAGTGAAGGATACTTTCTTTACTAGTTATTAGTCATGTTATAGAGTTATACATCTAAATAAACAGTCCAAAAGAATGATAAACTTCAAGACAAGTACATAGTATGAATTTACGATTTTGTAAAATAATATGAGTTTTAATGAAATGACTGATATACAGTGTTAACATGAACACGTTTATGTGTTGAATGAAACTAAGAATATTGATCAAAATAAATAATCTAACTATAGAATTTTCGTAGTGTTAAGTGATGTGCATCCACCAAACGCTATCAGTTGAATCCGAGAAGTTGGAACTATTGTTAGGAGAGGAAGATGAGATGATGAGCGGTGACTTAAATCTCTTTGAGTGTGAGCGATATGACGAATCGACTTTTTTCTAACCGTCTGTTGCATATAGTCACATCATGAGAAGTTATTATATAATTTAGTCAGTTATAGATGCTTAGTTGTACAATATAGCATCTATGTGTTCAGACAATTAATTATCAAATAAATGATACTAAAAATTACTCAGTTCAAATCATTTGAATATGATTACTGATCTGTCAGTAAGTAGATCACATAAAAAGTAATATATTAATATATCATTTCGGCTTGTTTCCACGTCTAATAAATCCATGTCAGTATTCTTTGTACGTTTACTACAAGCCTTCAGATTTGGAGTTTTTAGTACCAGACACAAGTCAGTTAACCATATTGCAGACATAACAGCAATACGACTTGTTTCTTGGTATTAATAAAAACCTAGATCTATCATGAAATAAAAACAATTTATGCATTGAAATTAATGTTTATTTCGAAACTTACTTTAATATTCCCTTCGACATCACTTCGTAATAATGAAAATTTTGAATCCCATAAACCTAATTGACAAAAATATTGATTCACAATTAACAACACAAAGCATAATATGCGTACTTACCGAAAAAATCGCAAATCATTTTGGATAATTGTAAAAATGTTTGTATATCAAGATTTTTTTCATCTTTAAATATTGGAATATAAGAAAAGAATGTAATCATTTTAATTCGTTTCCGTTTATTGTGTACAAACAAAAATCTATGAGTTAACGTTGGGATCAGTTAGATAAACCAGCAAACAAAACCCTGGAAAGAACAAGAACAAAATAATATTAAGGATTGACAACTCATTTGAATAATAATAATAATAATAATAATAATAATAATAATGTCATGTAATAAGTACACGGTTTGAGACATACTATTTGCGTTTGAAGCTTATTAGTAATGTTATCCATCAGCATAGACAGACGTTATTGAGTCAAAGTCTTCAAGATTTGAAATATTGGATGAAATTTGAGTAATTTAACCACTAGGTCATTTCTCCAGTGAAATTTTCGACATCCATAAAGATATATACAATATCAGCAATCAAGGTTGATCAATTAAATGCGATGTCAAAGGTTAATTTAATAAAGAAAAACATCTGACACAAACAATACTCATCAGTTTGGTCATTTATGTACTTGCTTGAACAGCCGTTAAATTTATGGTCAAATTTCAATTTTTTAAAAGTCTATTTTAGTTAATCATTGGTTTTTTAAGACATTCAAACAGTATCACATAGTTTACAAGTAATAACATCATCACAAGAAAACTAATTTTCTCTGAAATTAGTACTTAATTTAAAAATGAGCAACCACAAGGGTAAATTTATATAAAAAAACTCATCGAAATCCACCATGTTCATTATTTAAATATTTAGAGACCGAAACTCATTACCACAAGTGTTTTCCTGTACTGAAATAAAACCCCGAATAATTTGCACCGATGAAATGTGTATGCATAAATTAGCATTGAAAAATTTATTCTCAAACAAACCATGATGACAAATCATTGTCTAGAAGTTCTAGTTATCAACTTTTAACCACCTTAGACTGGAATGTTGCTCATCGTTCAAGTGCTCTTTGAATGATGAGAACTTAAAATGGCGACGAAACCAGCAGATGTCGTAACAAATTTACAAACGATGACAAACTTAATGCATCAAAAGTATTCCAGAGAAATAGAATTGTTAAATTAGTATCTGTAGTCCGTGAGCCATCCGTTCTTTTCGACGTCAAGGACACATTTTGGCACAACAGAACAGAAAATTTAGTGATTGTACAATTAAAGTTTGCCTCCCTAGTTAGGGTTTTAATTTTTTCGACAGAAAATGTAGACTATCAAAAGACATCATATTCTATAGCCAACCTCAGAACACTAATGAAGGAGTCAGTATGAAACTCTTATCATGAACATCGTTTCACCAAGTTCCTCATATCATGCACACTTAGTATACCGTTGTGTAGTGGCAAATAAATAATAATTAGTGGGTATCATACGGCAAGCTACGTGTTATTGAGTTTCACTATTTTAACTTACACTGACAATGGCTTATTGCAATGCGACAAATGCGCCACCTGTGTGGTGATCCTTGTCTAGCCAGATAATTCGTGTACTAGGGGAGCATATGAAGAAACACGGATGAAAAGGACTGAGAAAAAGACGAGCAGGTAAAAAGGTTCGTCAACAACCCAGTAAGAGTACACGATGCACTTAATTTTATTAAGGAAACCAATAAACGAAAATCAGAAATAACACAAGTCTCAAGTCGTGACAGTCTTCGAATAGAAACTACGAGAAGGTAGTTTGGCGCACTACAACAGTGAATTTCAAAAAGTTCTCGTCTGTCGTGGGATGTCTCTAAAAGTCCAGATTGCATATGACATTCGTAAGTGAAAATATAATTTTTATACTGGCAAAAGCTAGTACCAAATAAGCATATATACGGAGACTAGCAAGTACGATTATAGATGCGGTTGGCTGGAGGAACAATATGCCAATTAAACTGGATTAAATGCACTGACTACGGAAAGTGTTTCAGAAATAATGAAAACAAACCTTGAAAGCAGCGGCCAAGTTAAAATGACCTTGATAACAATACAATATCCAATGCTGCAAGATAAAACAATTTGCAACTGTTGATTTCTTAAGCTTTTTATAGTCACATAGTAATGTTGCTACGATCTTAATAAGAAGTTAAATAAAAAGCCTTCTATAAAACAATTTTATTTGGGATGCAGAATGTGCTGATTATGGACTATATACTATTGACTACAGAAACACTGTCTTCAGTAATAAGGATAGGAGGTCTATTGACCTATTTTAATCCTTGCAGTTTGTTACACTGTGGAGATCCAATCCCGTCTTGAATATATCAACAGAAGGTGCCGATATTAAGTGTTCTGGTAGAGAATTCCAGTAATTCACTACTCGGTGCGGGAAATGAAACTCCATACGTAGACGATTTGATCTCGGTTTTTGGAATTTCTTAGAATGTCCTCTCAAATGATCAGCCCTAGACGGGAGGAAAAGTTAGGACATGTTAGTGCCATGTTCATCGTTCATGATACGATATGCCAACATTAGATCACCCTGTATTCGCCGGTAAGATAACGGAAATAAGTTGAGGTGTTTCAGTCTGTCTTCATAAGATAGGCCAGTAAGGCCTTTTACCATTTTTTTCTGCGGCGTTGGACTCGTTCCAACATATCCACCTCATATTTGAAACAAGGACTCACTGCTTGAATCCCATATTTCAAATGTGGTCATACGAACGTTGGGTATAATAATCAAAACATTTCCTCAACCAGATATCGGAAAGATCTACGAATAGTCTATAATGCCCTATAGCCTTTTTTCAGCAGCAGCCTTACAGTGACTGGTTGTTTTGAGATCATTACTTAGTATGACTCCTAAATCTTTATAGTTTCTTACTTTGGGCAACACTAATCCACATATTGTGTAGTAATACGAATCATCGTAGTTATTTAGTTGCATCACTACACTTTTGTTAGGATTTACTTCTAGTGACCACCCGTTCATCCATGCCACTAATGAGTTAAGATCTTCCTCTTATATTATTCTGTCTGACATGCTATGTATGGGTCTCCAAATGTTTATGTCATCGGCGAATAGTAGGACGGATGATTTAGCTATAGTTGGTGATTCATTTACATAAAGTAAAAAGAGAAGAGGACCTTGGATTGTGCCCTGGGGGACTCCACTTTTTACTGGTTCCCACGATGAGAGAGATCCATTTACTCTTACCCTTTGTCTCCTGTCATGAAGACAGTCACTTATCTAGTCTATGACTGCATAATGAATTCCAAAACTTTCCAGTTTAAATTTAAGACCAGAATGGGAAACCTTATCAAAGGCTTTACTTAGATCTATGAAAATGGCATCTACAGGAATATTGCGATCTTTTACCTCAGCCCAATCTTCTCTTGCAATGAAAAGATCTGTCAAACATGATAAGCCTTTTCGAAAACCTTGGACAAAAGATCATGTCTTTCCACATAGTTTATAACAGCCATCCTGATAATTTTTCCCATCAGTTTGACAACTGCATCAGTTACTAACTAAATATCTACTCCCGGCCTTATACACCGGACTGATTATCGCATCTTTCCAGTCTCTGGACAATCTGAACTGCCGCAGGGACATATCAAACAGTACCTCTAAAGGTTCAGCATTTTTATCTGATAGGGCTTTCTTAATCTTAGGATCAATATCATCAGGACCACTGGAATCATCAGGTTTGAGGTGCTGAAGTAGTCTTAAGACAGTAGCTTTCTCAATGATTACAGGGTCAGTCAACAAGACGCCACAATCACAATGAATAGGTGGTCGTTCCTCATTATGGGTGGAAAAAACTTTACTGAAATATTTCGATAAAGCTTCGGCTTTTTCGGTATCATTTTTTGCCAAGACTAACGGATTTTCTTGTATCAAAAGTGATGGTATTCCATCACTTCTTCGAGTTCACCTCTTTATATACGAGAATAACCGTTTCGGACTATGTTTAAAATCTCTAACCAATTGTTTTTCGCATGACCGTCTAGTCCTACTAATTAACGCTTTACAAGTATTTCTAATCTTACAACAACTGGATCTGTACTGTTCTTAGCCAGTAGAGATGAACGTATTCCAGTGCTTTTTCCTACACCTAAGAAGTTTCCTGACTTGTTTATTTATCCATGGTGGACTATTATTCGGTCTACGTGGTACTAATTATGGTATGAACGGGGACGTGACTGCACGAAACTTGCCACCACGCTTATTCAACTTATGAGCTAGTATTGACCCATTCTGTCTTAGCAGCACACTCCTGAATGGCTGGTATGTTAGCTCTCCATATGTTTGGGCGAGGCTTAATCTGATCGTATATCATGTCGCTAGCTCTAAACGTGAATGATAAAACAGCGTGATCGCTATTTACTAACGGGGGAAGAATATTCAGGTTGGCGATTTCCTCAGTCTCATTAGTGATTACCAAGTCCAGCAGAGAAGAACCTTGGTTTACACCAAAACGTTTAGGTTTGGATACATGCTGTACTAATGCATGCTCCATTACTGTTTTCAAGAACTTACTATCAAAGGAGTTTATAGATTCCTTCGTGTTCATCTCAGTCCAACTAATGTCAGGGGCATTAAAGTCTCCTAATATCAAGCATCTATTATTTGCACTCAATAGCCGAATGTGCTCTAAAATAAAGTTATCAGCTATGCAGATTTGGCTACGACAGATGACACAGAGTACAAATGTACAACATCCGATGGTGAGTTCACAGCTAATGAATTCACTAGTTCCACTATCATGGGATTCGCAAACGGAGGAGCGAAAATTTATATTATTGGCTATATATAGAAGGACGCCACCTCCTTTCCTGCACTTATGTCTATGACTTCTTAAAAAATTTTATCCGGATAATTCTGGGGTGATATCGAAGTCATGGACTAACCAAGTTTCCGTCACAGCTACCACGAGTGGTCTTAATTTGTCAACTAATGCTCCTAGCTCGTAGAATTTATGTCTTAGACTATGGGTGTTGGTATATAAAACTCCTAGGGAGAACGACCTATCCACACAGGCCTTGGTAGCATGCGCTTCCAAGATCTGACTATCCAAAAACCCACTAATCGGAGATTTCCCTCACCGTTTTGTTGACGGGTTT